CGTACGCATTCTGCGCATGTATCGTGCAGGAAGAAAACGCTAGCAATTAATGGCGTGCCCGCTTTTCGGAATCTCCTGTCCAACGCATTTCGTCGAAAGCTCGATTATTACGCAACACCGTGCGGAGAATAGAAGGTACGCGCGACATATGCATGCATGTACACACGGAGAAACACAGAGAATACATGTGGCGTCGATGTTACGCAACCGTATAATCCTAGATTACGGCAATTACATTTTTGCCCGCAGTACACTTCCATCCGAATCATATATGGAGGCGCTACCCTATCGGATAGCCATCGGGCGCGAGCGATCTGGCATGCGCGGCCGTTCTCGTGAATGGGCACGGCTCGTGGACCAAGCGGCGGCCGTATGAATGAAATAGTAAATATAATTGACAGAAGGGCAGGCGTGGGCAGGCCAGTCAGAACAGGCAAGCAGAAACAGGCGGAACGAGGTGCAAGACGGGAACGGCGCGGCGTTTTATACGCGGCAAGCGTAGGATCGAGGTCATCACCTTTCTATCATCCGAACAGCCTAGATAGCACTTTTTTTTTTTTTTTACTTCTCTTCCTTTTCTTTTTTTGTTCCATATCTCACGTGTTTCGACACGTTCTCAGATGTATTTTCGATATTCCTTACCCGCTGATCATCGGTTACCTGTGTTCGATCAACCCTTCGTCGCGGGAAGATTTTTTACACGGTAAGAAGATTTGTTAATTTTCACGTGGAAAAGGGATTCAGTAGAAATTAAAATTACAAGAACATACTAGAACGTGCACGTTCATTTGTCAGCGCGAAAATAATTTCTACAAGAAGGCCGAGGCAACATCCAGAAAACCATCCAACTTTGGTCCAAGGCATAGACTTTCGTCATAGAAGTTTCATTGATCCGTCACCGTTAGATCGGTGAATATGTCGCAACGCAGCGAGCGTGGCTTTAATTAATCGCCGTCACGGAAACGGAAGAGTCAACGACAAGAGATTTGTATTTCTATTAAAGCCACGGGATAAGTATAGGAATCCCTGCCGGACCCTGGCTACGTGAAAACATTACGTGACGATGAGGACAGAGATCCGCCCTCGGCCGCGAGTACTGGCTGTTGTGGAGAACGTTGAAGGAGAGCTGCGCCAGTTCTTGGCCGGTCGGTCTGCCTTTTCTCTCTCTTCTCCCTTCTCCCCCGATACCCCTTCCCCTCGAAGTCGTCGAGTGACGACCAAAGACGGTAGGAAGGTACGGTTTCCGGTCGCCCACGCGACAACCTAGCCGGAGCTCTCTCGCGTCAGGCAGCGCCGTTGTGAAAATCCTCTCGATTCAGGTGTCCGGATAGCGCAACACCCTGCACCATGGTGGGGACATAATCCGGGCAAAATGGAGAACAATTTGTAGATTTCTATTCTAGGTTCAAACTCTGTTCTCTTAACCCCTCCCGCGGTTCTACCGATCCTCTATCTGATAGAGACATATTCGACCAATAACTTTGTACTACTTCGTGTGAATTTTGTTTACACTGATGTGAAGATTGAATTTCAGAGTAATTTTTATTTTCACGGTTACAAGATTATTGTATTCTTTCGGTAATTTTTGACGAATAGTATTTTTTCCATTGTTGGAAAGTTTCTTACAGATTACAGATTATAAATTTTTATTCGATGATTTTACAATTTTGTACGAAATAGGGTAATTAACTGATTCGTAATTTGTAAAAATTTATTCGCGATGATTTTCATTTGTCTCATTTACATTTAACACTGTGAGAAATTGATAACTTAATTTCGTAGGCTTTCGTATTCTAACTGTTATAAATGCGATATTGATCAACGATTTTCTTAGCCCATCTCACGTGCATGTAAAAGTCCTTTTCTCGATTGAAACACAAAAGACTAAAAAATCGTGGCAGAGTTTCTTTCGTTTTTCAAAGACATTTTCCTTTTGCTCGCGGACGAATAATAATTAGCTTTCCTTTCATCCAGTCGCTTTCTAATTCGATTACTCAACGATTAATTACTACAGTTCAGCGTTAGCCAAGCAAGCGAGAAAAAGAAAGAAAGAAAGAAAGAAAGAGAGAGAGAGAGAGAGAGAGAGAGCGGTAGGCTAAGGGTTGATTCGAATCATTGTGATGGAACGTTGTTGCGCGGCTGGACGTAGGATTAATGATACGTTTCATACTCATTTTCGTTCATTGTCGATACTAATCGATTACGGGCCGTGCACGAGTTCCAGCGTCATTAGTTAAGATCGGAATAAATTTCGGGTGAAAGTGGTCTAGGGCCTAAGGGTCGATCGATCCTCCTGGTGATAAATTTACCTGTCAATTAAGCTTCATTTCAGCTTTTGGCCACACCGAGAAAATAGTTCGACACATCGTGCTGACGTCCAACAGACGTAATTAAAAACCAAGTGTGCCCTGATTCATTCGTAAACAAATCGATTGACGCAACAACACTTCCACTCGTGTCGCAGAGTATATCCACTTCGATTATCGAACACGTTCTCCCTCGACTTTTGAAGAAACTCGTCGTTTACGTAATTCCTAGCTCGCGTGAAGTGTTGTCGAAGAAGTTGGAAACATTGTCGCTTAATTAACAAACTTCGTTTCCACGAAATCTCTAAACCAGCGGAAGAAGAATATACGTGTAAATGTTGGATTCGCATGGATGGTTCATAATTAAAAACAATTCCAAAGAGCACCGGCGATGCACGAGATTCGTTATCATTCGAAAATCACGAAACACTACTACAAATAATATAATATAATTACAAAATGAAATTGACACGTATTGAAATTATATTTCAAGATTTCATTACAAAATTTATTTTATTGAAGGTCACGTATAAAATTAGCGAACAAAGATCACAAGAAAAGAAACAACAAATGAACTTTTTATTTTAATGTCACTGATGATAAGGGAATCTTTCAATATAAAATAATTAAAAATGCAAAGAACCTACTAGGCTGAAGATATAGTAGTTTACCACAATATTAATTTTAATATAGTGGTAAATTACGAAGGAGGTTATGCCTCATGTTCTCCAGGGAGGGTAAAAGAATCCCTAGCACAAGTAAGTCGAAACATAAATCATTTTTCACAATAATTTTTGTTGCAAGTTCCTTAAGTATCCTGTGACTTATGAATGGTAGCGTAATTGGACACTATTTTGTCGATGATAAAAATATTTCCGCAGAATTGTACGTGCTTTTGAGGATTTCTTCTTGTTGGATCGGAGGGACGGCGCTGCAACACACGTCGTTCCCTCCTCCTTTCTCTTTTTCTCGCGTTCCATTTCCGTCTCTTTCTCTCGATATTCCATCTTGCTTCTCTTCTGGATGCTGTGTTCTTCTCTGAAAGTCCCTTCGAAGAGGTAGGGCACGCGAATGTGGGAGGGAGAGTTTCCGGTCGCCCACGCGCCTCCGCAACAACCACTTCGCCGAGGTATCAGGGACAAAACACGAGCCGGCGGATGTCTCTTCTCTTCAGCGCAAATGAAGAAGTCGCCTCGCATTCGGCAAATATAATGAAAGCCCTTTCCCCCCCCCCCCTTCTCCCCCTTCCCGACGGTATGCATCGCGGAAGCGATCCTCTGTTAGCGTTTTGCCTCTTGCGCTCCCTGTTTCTGACTCCCGCTCTTTTAATTCGCCATTCACGATGACGCGCCTTAAGCAACACTGGTGATCTTGGAATGACGATGGTTCAAAAGATTAAAAATTAAAAAGATTCGATAGATTTGTGAATTTGGCGCATTTTTAGAAATTTGAATGATCCTTCATAAAAGTTTTCTCTTTTACTTCTCTGATGCAAATTTCATGCCTTAGCCGATAGTTCTAACGTCAGTTGTGTTGTGTGTGATCTTCGCTCAAAAGAAAATATTGACTTATGACCGCAAAAGATTAGTAACATTTCCCTTACAATAATAACAATATCTCCCTGTTTATTCTACAGACAGAAGAAAAAAACCGACAAGATAAGAATTCTGAAAAAAAGAAAAAAAGAAAAATGGAAATTAATTCGCAAGATTGAAGGGACCAAACTGAAGAAAGAAGGGAACGACGTTGGTCAGGAGTATGAAGCAATAGAAAGGTAGCGGCCGATTGCTGAGCTTAAAAATAGCAATGACGACTGATCCGTCCACGCGTGCACGCCGATCGGTTCGTATCGGTTTCGACTGGGGCTGTCGTAGGCTTTGCTAGAGGCAGGTCAAGGCACCGCGGGAACACGGTCGTAAACCACCCTTCGCAAATCCTCGTCGCGCAACCCATTCGAATGGTACGACGAGCAGCAAGTATTCCTGCTGGTTGTTGCCGTGAGTACCGTGTACTTCGATTGAGCGATCACATTCGGTTTCTTCGATCTCTTCTTTTTTCTGTGTCGCGCGGAGATTCGAGCGTTGATAACGCGCAATTAACATGGAAATTAAATCCAGTTTACTTGGTTGAGGACAGTGGTTCACGACTAGTGAGCCAGCTGATATTTTTCGATCCTTGCTTCGACCGCGAAGACTATGTATCAATCGATATCGTTTTAACCGGGTTTTATTGTTTGTCGATGGAAAGGTATGTAAATGGAAGTGACATAGAAAGCGAAAATCAATCAAGTATTAAACGTAATAATTCAGTTAAGATGTTATTCAGCATTCTGCGAATGTTTATGCAAATTTACATTTTTATGAATAGAATAAAAAACAAAAATAAGACTTAAACAGTCGAATATATTTTTTAAATATTTTTGTATATTACATACTTTATATATGCATATTTTCGTTAACAGATTCTAACATTTAACAAGACTCAATCCAAGTTTCTCAATTTTACCGACATTCATAAAAATCTAAATTTATCACAGATATATAATCAGTCTAATCAATTAATTTTCAAGTTATCGTAAATGTCCCCTAATTCTTACGGGATTGCACGTGCATGCAGAATGCATATGATCTCAACACTGGCTAGATCAATTGCTGTTTCTATTTAACGCTTTATTTTACGAGCTCCTTGTGTCATTTCTACCCACAGGCGGATGAGTATTTTTCACCAGGAGACTCTAGAGCGAGGAAATTCTTTCGGCTCTTTGCGACCAATTCCAACGGTACATCAGAACCACTCGAGAGAACGACTTCTCTGACCAGTGTACGCAACCACCCACCACGAAGTACTCGAGGAACGAGGATTGTTCGTCCTTCGAGAGGAGAATTCGGCGTTAAAGCCACCTCCTGCCCCTCCCCTCGCCTGTTTTCTCCCTTCTTTTTTCTCTCAACTCGGTTTCGGGACCATCTAGCTGGAAAAAGAGGACCACAGAAGAGATTTTTAGGGGCGTTCAGGCGACCGTGCGAAATCGACTTCACGGAGAAGATCACGGTAATATTGAATAATGATATGATATAATTTAATAACCGTGCCGCTGGATGATGCTTAATGACGATAATGCCGGAGTACCATGGCCACCTAAGATCAGCAGGGAAGCATGAATTTGCAGGTTGTTCCGTTTAATCGATACTTGTGTGTTTATGCGTGCACTACATTTTGCTACATTAACCTTAATACCTTTGCTTTAGCCCATTAAAGGGCCGAAAGCATTGAAATAATGGGTCGAGGTTACATAAATGCAACAGTATTCCAGGATATGAATAAAGTGACTTACATAAGGAACAAATATATTATTACAAAATAACAGGGATCTCCTACATAATACAAAATAGTTTGTATTGCTGTTGCAATGCTAGAGATGTTTCAATTTCTTTGAAATCATTAAAAACCAAACTTACTATTCTATTGGTAATTTTTTTCAGTCAATTTATATTACTAAGTTTTGTTTATTGTGTCCATATTTCAATTAGGAAAAGAAACTCAATATTTCTCTCCTTACTATTCTCTTTCTATCTCTCTATGAATTTCATGAAAAATGAGATAAAACTCGAATACGATGATATAAATTTTACAAAAGGCAAAACTCGAAATCTAGATAGAGACTGTTCGAGAAATAATTTTAAATGAAATATGTTGCGTTGGCTCCTGATGGATCGGTACAAATTACCTACTCGTCCCATATCTTCCGTGACTGTTAGTACCAATTCAAACAAAAATATTCCAGAGAAGACATTAGAGGGACAACGTTTGCGAATAATAATCTACGGATTAATGATGGCCTTGATGGAACATAAAATTTAACTTGATATCGAAACTTGCTAAGGATACGCGTGCTGTTCCACGATTGTGAAGATAAACAATAGATCAGAGATTGGCTCACGGGCATCCAATGCGGTTATATTAAGTAACCGCAAGACTGGCTCGTAATCGCGATCGTATCTGGTCATAGGATGTCCCAACTTATAGGCGGGATATCCCAAGAATTTATGTCACGCGTTAACCTCCTCCCCCCC